AAGAAATAGCTTAAAGGCTACAGCATATGGCCTCAGCACTAAGAAATCTTGTCAAATAGTTCAGAAAGCTTTTTTAACTGTTATTACAGGCTGCTCATAGTGCAAGCTGGTGGCAACGTTTTAATTTTTTTTTTTTAAACATGAAATGTCAAAAAGTTACAAAAGCTGTACTTTTCAGAATGGTTCAGAAAATAATTAAGATGTTATTGTGTTTTAAACACAGCAAAAAAAGTACAGGTAGAGAGACCATTCACAGTTTTGGAAGGGTTGGGGGGGTAGTTGGGCATTTTAAAATATATATAATTCTGTGTTTCCTCAATAAATGTATTTAGACTTTAAGGGGGCTTGTGGTGGTTTAAGGAATGTATTTGGGTAGCAATTTGCATCCAGAACGCCAGTTTCTACAGATACAGTTTCAATATTACCGACATGTCCATATTATTGAAATGTATCAAAATGTACTCTACACCAAATGTAGAGGATTTCCCTGTTAGCGTTTGTGCTCTGTCAGCTGCATTACAGACACCTTGGATGTGAAAGAAGGCAATTAAAAATTTGTGGAAAATAAAGTCTAAAGTAATAAAAAAAAAATTTATAATGTATAAAAGGTACCTAAAATACAAATTCTCATGCTCCAGTTGATAGATGAGCTGTCTAATCAACGCCTGGACGTAACTTAAGTGCTCTCATTAGTGTGAAGACCTTCAGGCTAAATAAGACTAAATCCCTTAAAAATTGCTTCTGCAATAGAAAAATCCCCCTTACCATTTTCCTCTGCCTAAATCATATCAATTAAAAAGAGAGAAGGGGAGGGAGGGAGAGAGTCATTTTCACATGACTTTGTTTTAACTGACACTCAAAAATCTATCTTGTGAAACTAATTTAAAATGTTTCAGCAAAAAAAGTTCATTAGCAATCCAAGAAACAAAAAAATCACACCGAGTTTAGTTTCTCTTTCAGTTTAAACCTGAATCTTTACTCAGGGCTAAGGCACGTAATGCCCGTTGAATCCTTCACCGTAACTTCTTTTTTCAACCCCAAACATTTAATCAACATTGCAGTTTTACACTAAATGATAAAATTTATCAAAATGATCCTCCAGAAGAGTGAAGTGCAAATTTTATTTTCAGTGGGCTGAGGAGGGACACTCTCCCTCCCCCCCCCACCCCCGCCAACCCCCGAATTTCAATTTGTCCTGACAAACCATTGGGTATTAAATTCTAAAGGCACGCAGAGTGCATAAAGAACTGATGGCTTGATTAGCTCTTGTGGTGCAATTGAAGGAGCTGTCTCTCTCCCCGCTTCTCCATTTTGAGAAACACTTTGATCTTCGTTCAAGTCAATTCATGAACATCAACTGACAAGACTGCATGAAACACCCCAATGGTTAGGCCCAAACTCGTAGCAAACTATTTGGTTTCATTAAGGCTTTAGGAGAAGTGACCAGTGACAGTCCTTTCATTCAGAAGCCAACAGGCAAGTGACTATTTAAACTTTAATGTGCACAATGTACTGCTGAAGGCCACTACACCTATAGTCAGTCACTCAAGTATGAATGCCTTTACCTACTATTTTGTGACATGTGAACTGCTAAGTGCAGCTGCAGTCTCATTAATGCATTCGCTCAGATTTGTTTGCAGGACTAAATAGACGATTCACAGAATTTCTGGTGGGAGAAACAACTGTATCTTCAAAGGAAGGTAGAACAGCAGGTGCTATGTAAAAGCCAGCGATTAAAAAAGGGGCTGTGTTTTTACATCCAGTAATTTACTCGACATTTGCACAAACGTAGCAGAAATATTATCTGTTCCGGCTGAAAATATGAAAGAACTTGAACCACATCACCCGTAAAACGCAGAGTATTCGGGCTGGTGTCGAGCTTTGCTACAGTACACTACTTACACATCACTCTTCCCCTTTTTTTGTTGTCCTCTCTAAAGAGTCCCACTTCAAAGAGTTCATTTTTGCACCAGTTCCTGTCAATGCAGGTCAGAAACACTAAAGTGGAAAGTGGCTGCAGTGCCGTGGCACAAAGAGTCTCCGCGGCTGAAATCAAACAAAGCCCAATTAAACTAATCATAACGTCCCAGTGAACACAAGGAAGCTCACCTGGTATTTCTGGACTTCTTGTGTGAATTCCCAACTCTACTCGGTACTTGGTACTATAATTACCCTGACCAAAATACTGTGAAATTACTGCTCTGATCTACTAATGGCTGCAAAAAATCCTGTCGCTGTGGTTCCATGCCAAGGGGCCGTAGCAAGGTGGCGCAATGCTTTCTGACAGAGACGACAACTTCGAAAAACTCAAAAGGGAAAATTAACGGGATGTGGTTTATGTTGCCAAGGACTGTTCATTAATTACCAATTTAATCACTGCTGGAGGCATGACATTACAAAAATCTGGCTGAAAGTTCTAATAGATTATGAAGACCACCTAAGAAGAGTGACCAAGAAATGTACAAAACAATTAATACTGTTTCACTGCTATCAAAGACACTCAGATTATTTTACATCAAGTGAAGCAAAAGAATTAGTAGCTTCACAGTGCCACCACTAGGAACTGTAAATACAATGGCACACAATTAGTAATGCACATGTGACTTTTCGTTCAAGGCATATATCCTTGGGAAAGCCAGAACACGATAAGGAGAACAAAAGAAACATTTTTAAATGAAATGAATAAAGATTTTAACTCTACCCTTGTGCATGCTGAGCAAGAACAGAATAGGCAATGCAAAATACAGCTCTAAGTAATGGCGATATCATCCTGGGATTCACAACAGCGTGTACTGAACATCCACACGGAAAACGTCCACAGCTATTAGCAGCGATAGAAAAAAGAGCATTCCAGAGGCTGAGAGACCCGGGTCTCGCTTTGTGCACAAAGGGATAGTTCCGAAACGGAGATTTTTTTTTTTTTTTTTGTTAATATCTATAAATGGATAGAAGGTGATAAAATTTTTGAACTAATTTTGTTCAGATGATCGTAAAATTCTGTTAATAAGTTGACAGTCTATTTTCTGTCAGCGTGCAAGTTAATTGTATGGCTGCACACTGTGCAGCACCTTGAATTTACAGCCACATAATAAGTAACTGCACATTTATATATTTAGGCCAGATGCTTAAGTGGTGTAAATAGATACAATTTATGGAAATAACAGCAATAAAATTCAGCTGAGAAACTCAAGCATTTGTACCTAAAACTCAAACTGCTAACATTTGTCTTGCATTATCAAAGGTTATGCTTTACTCAGGAAATCCCTCCTGGTATAAAACTGACAGTGCATACTAATTCTTCTTCAAAATTAGTTTACTTGCACTAATTGATTTATTTTCCCAGCTTCGTCAGGGACTTGTCTGCAGCAATATTTTTGTACAGTGAAATATCACAACTTCATAGTAAGAAAGTGCTTAAATAGATCAAATATGAAGTCAAAAGACGTAGAACCTTCTTGGAAAGTTAGAGATTATTTTAATTTTTCATGTATTGAGTAATGTTAAATAAAATAACTTTCTTGTTCTTGCCATCAAGGAAATGAGATCAGGCTATCTCAACCTTAGCTTGTCGTTCTAAAGAAGTAAATATCAGGGCAGTTGTGGTTTTGAAGTGTTCAGTCAGCAGGTCTAACCTTCATTTAAAGAAAAGTATATTGTTAAAACAGCTATAAAACTTGGAATGCTCATGAAATGTAAATACTCTACAGCATAGTCTTATCAGCTTACACCATATTTAACCACTTTATAGTGACATACAGACAAGACATATAAATGAACAACAGGGAATAAGTTAGCAAAGCTCAGGGATTACCAAAATAATGTTCAATCTTTTTTGCCAATTAGATGGTAACTGCTTCTTTGTAATCTCAGGAAGATCTAGTGATCATATCTAAATCTGGTTGCAATTATCATCATGACAGACTAGTCTTTTCTCAATCTATATTTTCCAATTAATATTAAAAGACCAAGGTTGCCATCTGCAAAGTCCTACACCTCAATAAATTAATGTTAGATGTTTAATTAATAAAGATCAGATTTTTAATCTATTTTTTTAAAGAAAAACAAGATACAAATAACTTGGGAGTTTTTCCTTAAATGAATTAACATCATCACCTCAATCATAGATATTTATTTTCCAATTGAGGAGACTACAAAAAAAATCCACTCATGAGCTCGATGCCTTTCCTAACACAGCAGAAATAGGGATTCTGATTTCACAGAGAAAAAAAAATTACTTAATGAAGATATTTTGCACTGTTTTTCAAGAACCTGTTAAAATAATTGGTGGAAAGAATACTTGCATTGCTATCTTGAGTTTCAGGCATCTTCAATCAAATTAAAATATTCTATTTTTGTTGTCTACTGTTAATTTCCTTTCTGTACCACTTCTGTTCATACTGGCTAGAGTTTACTTTTTGGTCACTTATTTGAACCAAGCAGTTTGGAACTTATTAGTTCAGAGGGGCAGCAGATTATTGCAGGACATGATCAATAAATGGGACCATTTATTAAACCTTAATTTCTGAGCATTTAAAAGAATGCTTTGTTTTTATTTTAATGCAGTTGGCATATTCCATATCTGCACAAATGTATGCAGCCAAAATTAAAGTAAGAGCATAGAGACTCATATCCTTTCAGATTCTGTCACTTTCTGAAGCCTTTCTAAAGAGAACTTCCATTTCCACTGGTCTAGTGCATGCAAAAAAATGTTATCATTCTGCACTCAAATATTTATGAAAATGAAAAGCAATGGGCACAACCGATTGACACCTGAAGTAGAAAGAACTTATTAAATATGAATTAGATACAGTTGCAACAAGTCCTTTGAGCAAGGGAGTAATAAAAAGCAATATTCTGAGCAACGAGAAACAATCTCATGCCACAGCCCGTTCCTCTGCCCTCTGCACACAGACAGTGTTCGCGTGTTTGGAGGAAACAGCTTTTCAGTGAAGTACTTTGTATGTGCAAATTTTACTGAAAAAGCTGAATATAGTCCCTGCTGCTCTTCCAATCCTTTGTTTTTTAAATATATATATATATAGAGAGAGAGGCAGCTATTGCTGTCATTCAACTTGAATAAATATAAAATAATGGTAGCAGCGATAACCAAACCGAAATCTTTCTCTGTACAGAAAGCACGTTAGCAACAGTTGCATTAAGCACAACAGCAGCATTAGGATTACTCTGAACCACTCCCCCTTCAGTTTATATTAATCTGGTTTTAAATACTTATTGTCCATATGGAGTCTCTTACAATTTTTAGCCTAGTTATCCTCGGATGCTTCTGTGAAGGAAGAATTACTATTTTCCTATTTCACAAAAGGCAAAAGACAGAGTGATTCCCTCTGGGTATCATGCTATTGAACTCTTGCATCCCAGAATCTATGCTATATCCTAAATATGCAAAATTTTTGGTCAAATCCGTATAAGTGGCCAAGTCCTGCACCTAAATTCACCAAGGAGGAATCCTTAGCTCATGTAAAACCCAAATAACTTCAGAAATTATCTGTGGCCCCATTAGGGAGAAAAATACATCCTTTGCCAGATGAGCACTATTGTTCATGAACTCCACATGATACTGCATTCCTTGCTAAAGCTGTCTACGTTACATAAACAAGTTAAAAGAATTTGACACAGGATTTAGGAGATGCCAGAAATAAAACCAGTGGGCACAATCTTAATTTTCATTCTGCTCTGTATCCTTTAAAACAGAGCCTTTTTGTAGCACCACCCTTTACTTTAACTATCTCCCGGTCTTCAGCCCCGACCTGAGCTCTGCCCAGTGGTGTTCAATACTTGGGTTTATTTTCACTGTTCAATACGTAGGCCCATCCATATGTGGCATCGTTCTTTACGCCTCAGTATTCAAATCTTGCTCTGAAGACAGAATTATTAATTTCTCCTTTTCATTTCTTTCTACAGTGCCCACCACTATGGTATTTAGGGGCCTCAAAAGCTTGAATCACATTCCCTTCTCACACCATGCTGTGGAAGCCTTATTACCCTGTTCTTTGGATGAGAACTGAGATGGAGAGATCCAGCTGAAAGGATCTATCATTGGGTGCTGGGAAGCCTATTACCTGTTTGGGTTTTTTTCGTATACTAAGCTTTATACAGCCCTTTATATGTCTCAAGCACAGCTCTAATTGATTTCCCTGCCAGACCTGGATGCTCAATATATCTGCAAATCAAACTTTCACCTCAAAGCAATACAGAAAGGAAGGATACACAAATAGTGACCACTTGGAGGAAGTTTGGTTCAAAAGACTTAGCAGCTCTGATTAGGAACTCAGATAAAGGCAGCAGCAGTACATTTAATTATTTCAAGCACCTTAACCATGACCTCATCTTTTTGCTCCTCACAATCCCTGCTTCATTTGTCGCACACCTTCCAATTTCTGCAATCAGAAGTACAGAGTTCCTCTGGACAAACAGTCTTCTACATCACCTCTATCCTCTGAGGTAAATGAGACACAATTGCTTTGGGGAAAACAGTATGTGATCACATAATTAAAGACTACATCATAATGCATATACACAAAGGCGGTTAATTAAAGTTGCCTGTGCATTTCTTAACTCCTAATTCCATTCTCTGTAATCATGCTGACTCCATAACCATAGCCATTTGAGTTTACAGAGTAAATGACAGCTGCAGTAAATTTCCATTCTTTATGTGGACCAGTCACTAAAGGCAAAGAAGACCAACATTTTGCCAATGGCCTTTGCAGATATTTGCTGACAGCAGAGTTATGCTGAGATTCAGGAATTACGGATTCCACTCCAGGTTCTGCAGATGAGGGTTCCCTGTTGGAAAGGCCTTTTAGGCCAATGACTTCTGAATATTTCCCACTCATGGTCCCCTCTAGCCTGCCACTTTGCCAGTTAGGTTGCACAGACCAGCTTCAGCCTCCTCACCTTTCCAACATCACATTCCAGCCAAGCTGCCGCTGCTAACAACCATCACTACAGGTTGATATTTTACAGCATCTGCTGGGAGCAGATATGTCCCTTCTAGCCCTGTGATATTCACCATGAGAAAAGGCGAGTTAAATAAAAATGAGTAAGCTAATAAAAAGGCTCTCCTGGTTAAAAGCTAAGTGATTACAGCTGCTATACCAGATTGCAAATGACAGAAGCATGTTGTAAAAGAGTCACCACATGCACACATACATCAAGAAAGGCTGAGCTGTTTATAAATCTACCATAGAGAAAGGGATCCATGAGGGGATCAGTAACTCTGTTCACAGAGCTCTTAAGCTAATTCTTCCCGTCTCCAAAGGGCTGCATCAATTTTAATGACACAGCTATGATCCTCCCAAACCATGCGCGTGATTTCAAGGAGGCTCTGATCAATGTAGTCTCTTCTTGGACTTCAAATACCTGCCTACATACCTCCACATCCAGTCTGCATGCATACAGTTTGCAGATCAAAGGCTTCTGAGAAGCACCAAATAAACAGACATAACAGTGAAAAAAAACTTCTCCCATGCTTTAAGTAGGGAAGAATTGGGGCTAATAAAAATACAAATAGAGGAAGCAAGCAGAGAAGGATGGGACTAAATCAAGTGGATTGAACAAGAATGGAAGACAATGGGGCAGAAGGCACATAGGGAAGATGTCTAAGGGAAGAAAGAGTAAAGACAGAGGGTATTAAGAAAGAAAAATTTAAAAGGAGAAGAAAGGGAGCTGACATGGCCAGAGCAGACAGCTGAAAGACAGTGTGAGGGAGAGGAAGGAACAAGAAGATACAAACTAAAGGGAAAGAGGATACAGTTTGAGATGCAATGTATAACATGATTCAGAGGAAAAAAAGATTGAGTTATCAGGTATGAGAGCAAACTCAGTGCCTTAATATTTTGTTCCCAGAGGTTCATTAATTTCTGAGTTAAAAAGAAAGTAAGACAAGTAATAACATTGACACAGAGCACAAACGTGAGAAGATAGAAGCACATTACAGCAAGAAAGAAGACTTAAGAAAAGAGGGGTAAATGGCCAGAGAATGAACATATCACAGGAAAACAGCCAGTACTTTATGACAGGCTAGTTGGTGGTCAGAGACAACAAAGATTAAAAAAAAAAAAAGGAGAAGAGAAGAGAAGAGAAAGAGAAGAGAAAGAGAAGAAAAGAGAAGAGAAGAGAAGAGAAGAGAAGAGAAGAGAAGAGAAGAGAAAATATTGGTTCTACCAGAGAAAGGGTAAGGCTTAGGTAGAAGAAGGTCTAAGGTGTTTGCTCTAAGTTTAAAGGGGAAACAGGAACACTTTTTTCAAAATGGAGTTTTACCAGAACACATCAGGTGAGCACATACCAAGTAATTTATATTTATGGCCTTGGAACATACTTGGAAATTTCCTCCCTGTTGTTGGGCTTGAGCGGCGATACAGCCCGTGCTCACCGTGCACACTGTACAACCCCACACGTCGTATTTTATGCTGTTCTCACTTGGTTACTGAGAAAACAGCGATTCACGGCTCTCACATGACAAATGTGAAGCAAGGCCTGTGAGACGAGATTGTTCAAAAAGTTACTAATGAGACTGCAGGCTTTGCTTAGCTGGGGTGACCGACGTTCAGAAACACACTCTGAAAGACTGGGATGCTTAAAGTTCTTTTTGTGAAGGTATCAAAAAAGGTGCAATTGCAAACTTCAAGAGTTACTTTCAACAGTATTGCCCCCGGGCTATCTCTTCAAAGTTTTCTTATTTAAAATTAGATCTTCCTGTTTTAAACCATTTCCTTTTGTATCTCAATCCATCCCGAAAATGAGCCTAGTCCAATTTCCACTACTAAATGGTGATTCTCATTATCATAACTCTCATTTGGATAACACACTACTATACAGTACAGCACACTGACACATACAACACTGCTTTGAATCAAAGTCCTTATTATTATTAACCTTAATGACCAAAAAGCCATGAATAGAAATAAGTCTGTACTAAATGTTAACAATCAAATGAGGAATGACCTGTAGAAAACTGCCACAACTACATCAAATGGAAAGGCTTCATCTCTATGAAGATCAAATAGGTTAAACAGAAATCAATGTATTTTATCTTATACCTATATATGTAGATGCACACATGTATCCTCATTCAGAAAATACATATGTATGGGTATGTATATAACATATGTATAACATATTCATGCTATATAGAGCTTTATACATGAAATATGAACACTGTACCAACCTCCATTAAAGACACTCCTCTTTCACAGTTCATGTCTCCCACTAAAATGCATTAGGAGAATGTTGAGCTTGGTAAGTCAAGCACTCAAAAGTTAGAAAATGTTGAAATTACAGTAGCTGTACAACCTTGCATCGGTTCTCACTGCATAGTCTTTGACTGCATAACTCATACATTTTTTTCCCTACAGGATACTTGTCTTTTTTGGTAGCCATGACTGACAGTGTTCAGCGAATAAACAGCTGTTCAGTAGCTCACTTTACCCTCATCATTCACTACCTGCCCTATAGTTTTTTTAAAATACACTATGAAACTTTTCGCTGAACACGAAATTATCGATTTATTCCAGAGCATTTCTTTGGCAGTCTAGACTCATATCTAAGAGTTTCCAAATCACATGTCCACAACACATGTCTGAGTTGAGGAGCTTTTGTCATTCTTACGTGACAATCAACTCAAGAGTGCCCATTACAGTTTGCTTAGAGTGCCCAGGGGGAGCAGGTCCAGAGAAGAGCAACAAGGCTGGTGAAGGGACTTGAGCACAAGTCCTATGAGGAGAGGCTGAGGGAGCTGGGGCTGTTCAGCCTGGAGAAGAGGAGGCTCAGGGGAGACCTCATCACCCTCTACAACTCCCTGACAGGAGGTTGGAGCCAGGTGGGGGTTGGTCTCTTCTCCCAGGCAGATAGATACCGGTAAGACAAGAGGGCATGGTCTTAAGCTCTGCCAGGGAAAGTTTAGGTTGGATATTAGGAAGAAATTCTTTACAGAGAGGGTAATCAGACATTGCAATGGGCTGCCCAGGGAGGTGGTGGATTCTCCATCCCTGGAGGTTTTTAAGATGAGACTGGATGTGGCACTTAGTGCCATGGTCTAGTAACCACAGCAGTGTTGGATCAAGGGTTGGATTTGATATCTCAGAGGTCCTTTCCACCCTGGCTGATTCTATGATTTGTGCCAGCACAGTTCTCCTTGAGCTTCTGATAGAGGCAGCAAGAAACCTTGGGTCTGCCAAGCTGCCCTAAAAGACTGCCCCTTCCTTTTCCTGCAGGCTTCTATTTAACTTTTCAGCTTCTGTAACAAACGAAATAAGGACCCATGGGTAACCTGGCTGCCTGAACCTACACAGTCCTGACTCTCATGCTGAAAACCCCATCACTATCTCCTACCCTTCAACTGGTTTTCATGCCCTAGACAGAGTCTTCATTTCTGTCTAATTTCACATTGCCATCTACCTCCTCCAATCTATCCAGGGCATGTCTTCTCTGTGTGCTAGTGGGGTAGCTTCTTTTACTCCTGTTTGGATTTCACTAACAGGAGTTTGACTCTGAAAGAGAAAGTTTGCTTTCCAACACTACAATTTGCATCAGAATGGGCCTCCATCCTCAGGAGAGCACCAGTAAAAGATGCTCTTTCTGGGTTGTGTTCATACAGACAACTTTTACTGGCATGAACTTTTCTGAACTTCAAGGCTCTCTGACAAGGTTGTGCTATTAACACAACTTTGATAGTTTTGAACAGATGTTTCAAGGGGATGGAACCTTCTTCCCAAATTTTATGAATTTTTAACATGGATAAAACAATGCTTTATCCAACCTAATAGAGAGAAACAGTTGAACACATTTTAAGTAAAAAAAAAAAATAATTAAAAAATATTACTCTGAGGTAGAGGAGCTGATGGTGAAAATTTCAGCTCAAACAATGAAATACTACCAAAGTTGTAAAACCTATGAAAATAGGAGCTTGTAATAAAAATTGTTAGGCAACTTAAATTACAGTTGTTTCTGCCTGAGTAATTGCCTACAGTAACTCTCTTCTAGTGTAATTTTCTTTATGAAAAGCTAATTTAAAAAAAAAATCCAAAGTGAAACTTACACAAAAATATATGTCTCTAGGAAAAACTTAAAATACCAAATAAGTAAAAAATTGTTTAAACATCATTATACAAACAACACTTGTCTGCACATACAAATATATTTCAAAGTAAAATGGAGTATCAGACTGGGGAAAAGAATTTTTAAGTTAAAAAAATAGTCCAGCATGGATCCAAGAGAGTTAAGAAAATGAAATGAGACATGTAAATCATTGTCTTCATTTTTTGACTGCATGATCTCACTTGTGTAAAGAGCACAATTCGCCCCTCAGGACTCAGCTCTGAAAGATGGGAATCTGTAAAGATTCAAGTCTCCCTCTGTCATTATTTTTCAGTTACATTTGCATTCTCAGCTGCCAGTACAGTCTCTAATGCACAATAGTCAGAATCACAAAACCAGCATTGCAAAGGTTTGCATAAAAATTAATTAGCTTTAATCTCCAGAGAGTATGGATCCTTCCAGGTCACCACGGAGGCCACTGGAGATGCAACCATAGCTGCTTCAACACTGGAGCTCATTCCCCAGGTCCACTTTCCCATCTCACCAGCATAATCAACTTTGGTGATAAAAAGGAATTGTTCCATCAACTAACTCTTTTACAAGACTGACACAAGCAGCTTCATTCACTGCAACAACACTCATAAAGCAGCAAGGGGCTGACAATCAGAGGCTCAGGGAAACCATTTACATTAACCGAAAAAAAGAGAATTAATCATAAATAGCACAAATTACTTCACTATCATTTAACAAGTAACTTTGGGTTTTCATCCCATTAGGAACTGCAGCGCCAATCAAAGAAGGTGCTCCCAGACTTCTGCTTTCAGGGAAGTCAGAGGCGCCTTTCTGTTGGCCATAACATGGGGAGAAACAGGCTTTAAAAGTGAAAGGCACACAACACATCGGAGCAATTCAACGCGGAGAAGAAATATTCTGCAAGGACATGCCTTCCCCCCGCCCCCCGCCAAAAAAAGCACATACAATGAATTTTAACTCTGTAAACTGCAAGACTGGCCAGTATTTCTTACATCGTTCAGCTGCTTATTGCGGGCTGGGATGAGCGTATTGCTTAGTTGCTTATTCCCTGCCTTTAATGCTGCATCTCTTCTTGCTTGCTCAAGCAGAACTCTTGCTCGTTCTTTAAGTTCTTCCTGTCTTGACAACATACGTTGCTTAAAAATAAAGAAATACAATTAACAGCAAGGCAGCCTCAGGGTACTGAACGTTTATACAGTAGTTAATAGCCAGTGGCCTTCCTATGTATATTATAAAGGTCAGGAGTCACATGAATTACATCTTCATGAGGTGACAGAGCATTCCATAGAAATGAAAAGATGATCAAAACGTAAAAAAAGTCTTAGGCCTTTATAATGTAAATAGGAGTTCTCTCCCTTCCTCTTAAAACTTAATTTCTATCAGCATCTAATGCCTTTAAACTGTAACTGTGAAAAAAACCCAGTTGGCTTCATAGAAGCTATGTCAAACATGCTATGTGTTTACTTGTTTACTTTAATATGTATGCAAATACAATGCTTTGTTGGCTACTTATATGGGTATCACTCATTCACAACTTAAATTGAACACAAAGAGGCTGGGTACAAGGCAAAAAAACCTGCAAATATATCTGCTTCTACTTAATTTATGAATATCTAGAAGAATGTCCCTTCTTCATACACAGGACTGACTGTATCTGCAGAGTAGAAACAACAAAAGGTGGTTCTGCATTGGCAACATGAGAACACGAGCAGCTTCCAGACATATACACTCCCAAGGGCTGACTTCTTAGTCAAGGTCAACTGTGAAGACTGGGAAAATGCATCTCTAGGCCTTTACAGGAGCCAGAGCTGGGACAGGTGTTGCTTGTTGTGCTTCTGCAACAACCACATGGGTTGACTCCAAACTACAACTGAGTTCAAGGTTAAGAGTGAGCCTCACATCTGATATTTTATTACCATGTGCAAATGCACCAATGATTAACAACAAAGAGCTTCCTTTGAAGTCAACTCTTGTTTTTTCTTGGCCTGTTACACCCTTGCCCATGAAAATCTTCACAGAGAAGAAATTTTGTCTCCTCCTGCTTTTTTATTCTATATGGGCCAAGCTGTTCCTTTCTCATCCAGTAAACAAAGATGATGATGATGATGATGAAGAGAAACTTCATGAGACTTCACTGATTAAAGAAATTAGCTAGCTATGGAATTAATATTTGGCTATTAGTACCCATCTACGGACTGTTTCTCTTGCGATACAATGAATCTTTATGGTGCTTACTCGGAAAAAAACCATAAAAATATTTGAAGCAATCACACTACCAAAAGAATGGTACAAAGCCAAACCAAGCCCAAACTCAATAAAGCTCTTCACAGAGGTAAAATTATAGGCCTGCTTTGGTATTTTTGTAGATAAGAGTTGATAACATGTTTTACATATTTTTGTGATTATATGATTTATTGATAACACTCAGTATATGTATGTAATACTCAACATTCACCCTCACAATAAATCTGCAAGGTAGGTGGGCATATATTTTTATCTTCATAGAAAAGAAAATTATACTGCGGTGAAGTAACATGCTTTAGGCCACTCAGTGGACAGCACAATTTAATAGTCTGGAGTTTCTACCTCACCATTGTGGCAATGGTCACAAGGCTGTGTGGTTTCTCAAACAAGATTTTGAAATATCTTTGGTAAATTTTAAGGTACTCAAAATTTGACATTTTTTATTGAACTAATGTCTTTTTCCGGTTTTTGCTTCAGTATGCAACACTTAGAAGAAACGTGTTGCCACAATCAGCGGCAAAAGTTCTGGAGCCCTCTTCCAGATAGTCAAGAACACAACTCCCTTTAATTGGAGAGAGACTGGAAAGATTAATAGTGGGACAATTTGTATAAATTATTTTTTCATGTGATGATTGTTTTTCAGCACCACCTACTTTTTAGGCAAAATACTTACTGCCCAACAATAAAAATACACTGCTCACCTCACCATTCATACTGAAGATATGGTGTAAATTATGAATGCAGAGAAACAACTTGAACGGCATTTCCATCCTAACTTACAGGCATAAGTTTCTTACCTGGGCTGTTTTTGCAGTTTGATCTGCATGACTTAAAGCTGTTCTGGCATCACTGTCAGAATCAGATTCTGTTTGCCTTGGAGAAGCATGTGGTTTCTTTGTAAGATCTGTATCCATATTATAGGAGTATCCAGGCTTAGAAGTCGGAGATAAACTCGGTTTTGTGACAGGTGAACCAGGATCTGCTCTTGTGCTCTCTGTGGATCCTATACATCCCAGCTTTTCTTGTTCTGAGAAACCAGTAGTACTGTCTAAACTCTGGTGTCTCTTCTTGTTGTTATCTTCACAAGCAACTGTGGGAGACATATCCTCTTTTTGATCACTGACATGTGCTAAGTCACTGAATTCCAAAGTGTCAGTTATCAGCAATTTTTTCCTTCCCAATGTAGGCTGCACTTGTGTTGTGTCTGTACTGCTACACTTCCCAATTTCTTCAGACGCAGAAGTCCTTCCAGAGCTCTGCTGGGATTTCTGTGGATCTGTGTCACTTCGAGTCCTGCGAGAAGAAGGGGAAGCTGTGCTCGGGCTTAAATGGTCATCAGGAGTCTGATGCTCGCTCTCAGATTCTCCAACACCACTGTCATTTACAAACACGGAGTCAT